CTACCTTGGCATTAGAGTCGCCCACCAGACGTTAAACCCCATCAAACGATCATTAACAGACTATGTTTTTACTGTTGTGCAGAACATCTCAATCCAAGAATAACGTACTTCAGTTACTTTCATTCTTGATTGAGCTGGGGTCAATGATTAATATTATACACGACAATCAGCTGAAGCTGACTACGTTTTCATTAAAAAAAAAGAGAGGATGTCTTCCAAACGGACTTGTATTTCATGATGGGTGTTCAGAGAGCGAACCAAACAATCTTTCATGTGTTGTTGTAGCTCTTATGTACACCTTCAGGCGTCGCACCGATGTAAAAACGTCAGACCTGCGCGGTAGGCGCAGCACAGCCACAGCGAAAGCTACAAGAGCAGCCTTTCTGAACCTTTTCAAAACACTAATTGGGTAACTACTGCAAGCACACTTGCTTGGTACCCACTTGGGCATTAATAATAAACATTTGGGTAGTAGGCTGGCATTTGCTATGCAATTGTTCGTCATTCTTCTGAGAAGCGTGGTATCCGCTAAATCATTGCAAAGAATTTTGTGCCTATTGTCCATTCAGCGGCTGATGACGATGAGGAATTATGGCTATAGTGTATACGCTCCACAGTTAATAGGAAAACAAGAACAGCTTTTTAAATGGTTGGGAGCAATGGACGGCCCACTCTTTATGCTAATCGCATTGTGTACCGACTGTTTTTTTCGCTGTGTTTATATGCTTTATAAGTCATAATAACGCGATTTCTTTCCCGACAACGAGCTTGCCTAAGGCAAGTTTGACAAGTCACAAGCACAGGTGTAGCTAAGTGATAAAATACTAAGCTGGCACCCAGCAGAGACGGGTTTGAGCCTAACTGTTCCATTGACGCTATGTCATGCCTGGCTAAGACAAGTTTGACTACAAGTTACAAGCACTGGCGTAACTCAGCGGTAGATTATGGTGCTGGCACCCAGTGGACGCTGGTTTAAGCTTCACTGTGTCATTGGTGCAAACTTTTTTTGTAATTTCACGCAATGTTGTTAAGGACACCGCCAGTGGCGGCAGCAGCGTTGGTGGTGGAAGCAGCAGCGGCAACATGCAGCTGCATGGGACAAGAAAAGTGATCTCATAACAGCTTTCGCTGTAGAAGCGTTCTTCTTCAGTTGTGCTTATTGGCAGAGTTGCCGAAATGTTTAGACGTTGGTGCACGTTTGGGACAAATACCTCCGGGAAAATGGCAACCGCTTGCATCGCAGACACCCTCAGCGTTTCTCGCTTCCATTTAGCAGCGTAACTGCTAACTCTACTTGCATTGCTGAAGTGGAGACAATGTTCGAGTGTACACGTCAGCAAACTTTTCGGCAGTGGTAAGAGTGGCGTATTGGGCAATTGTCTGTGGCAGAAGAGAAGAAAGCATCTTCAAGGTGTGCCGATGCCTTTCAAAACACCCATTGAAGTGGTCAAATGATAGTCCAGAAAAGGCCAGAAATATTGAATGCCTAAAGTGCTCTTCCACGCCAGCCACTAACACGTCCCTTCGATGAAGCTGCCTCCATGTGACAAGCGGCATTCTCATTTTCACCAGTTGTGAAGTGTGGACTGGGAGTATCGTCGCTTTTTGAGAATGAATCATCAAGCGTTATAATGTACGGTGTTTTGGCACAGCCATCGAGTCTCATAAAAGGATGCTGTTCAACCCAGGACACGAACTACCAAGCATTACGTGTAGGCAGCATATTTCGAGGGGATGACTTCGCATTGCTAGAAAGCAACGAGCTAAGCAATATTAGGGCAGTGGCTATGCGAAAAACGAGAACTTTAGCAACGATACATGTAGGCTGGTAAAATTCCACCTTAAGCACTAGCACTCGTTTCTCGTCTGGCGGAAAGTATACATTCCCTTCGCTTTTCCTTGATGTGCCGGTAAGGTTGCGCTCGCCCTGTACTTTACTCTGCGCGCGAGATGTCTCACGTTTGTGACTTTGCCCATAGAGAAGGCTGGTAGTTTCTGTCACGTTGTAATGAAATACCACAAACGTGAATGAACACGAAGTAGGTAATGGCAGTAGTGAAACTCTAGCGACTCGAATCAGAATGCTCAAAACAGACAACCAGGCATGGACGGCGCACCGTAGAGCGTAAGTAAACTCGTGTTGCATGCGCTGGCAGTTCTCGTCGGAGTTCGCGCATTCTGAAGAACACATTATGATGCACTATGCTCTGAAAAACTCCAGCATTCATTCCTTCATCACTGGTGAACAGATCACGAAGATTTGGTGTGGTTCGAGGCTACTCCTGTTCAAGCTGGTTGAAGTGCTTGAACCATGAATGCACGTATGCTTCGTGGTGAAATATTCTGTACAGTTACGAATCTATTCAGGTAAAAAGAAAGTCGGTTGTACGCTTGCGAACAACGAAAGACACCTTGCCTTAACGCTATCGTTTGAGGGAGTGGCGTGAAGAGAGCTATGAAAAAAAGAGAACATATACCAGGTTTGCTCAGCGACCAAGTTTTATGTGAGTATAGTTTCCTCGCACGCACACTTTTGATTGAAACCTAGTGAACATTTCTCAATGATTATCTTGCCCTCGCAAATTGCAAGATAAAACCTCTATGATTGGAGTACTTCGTGAAGTCACCGACATCGACAGTAAGCAATTCGCTCAGCAAAGTAAGCAAAACGAAAATGTAAATGTTAATGTAATAAAACAAGCTGCGTATACCTCTCATTCCTCGTTGTAAGCGGAACCCTCCTTGACCTGCCGAATGCACTTCGCCCCGATGAGTACTACGCCACGTACGCTTAACAAAGAATAACGATTAACGATGTCTTCCTAAATCGGGTGAGTAATCGCAGAATTGCATTTCCTAAGACTAGTTCACTGAATGGTGTGGCGAGAAGCCATTGTTACCAACGGTCACGGTACCTGTCGTTTACTGTAGTTCGAGTTCTTCTTACATTACTGCACCACCACCGTGGTCTAGTGGCTAAGGTAATCGGCTGCTAACCCGCAGGTCTCTGGATAGAATCCCGGCTGCAGCGGCTGTATTTTCGATGGAGGAGAAAATGCTGTAGGCCCGTGTGCTCAGACTTCGGTGCACGTTCAAAAACCTCAGGCGGTCGAAATTTCCGGAGCCCCCACTACGGGGTCTCTCATAATATATGGTAGTTTTTTTTCTTCACCGCCTCCGGAAGCAGTCTAAACTCCGGCTGAAGACCATGCTGTCAGTGGCTGATGCGCGTTTCACTTTCCTGGCGGGTTTCCGCGGATTTATGTTTTATATACCCAGCACCTACAACAGACATCACGTAAGCAGGAACGGCGCAAGGGCCCCTCGTTGAATGTTGTTTATCGGAGCGAACTTCTGCTCCCCAAAGAACTGAAAAGTACAAAAAATGTGGCAAAGGAGCAGTCGACTGAGCGGCGTGGTTGTGTCTGCATGGCCCGCAAAATATGACTGTCCCCGACTTAGCGGTGGGCTTTTATGTCGGCGATATATCTCTAGTAAGGAAAGTAAAGGAAAAAGCTCTCTGTCCCATCAAATCGGATTGCTAGCACACTACAAAAAGAGGTATAAAAACGTTTCTTTTGCTTTGAAAGTTGATGAAGACGGGCGGTGCCAGATGCGGGGAGTTTACACATAAATGAGTAAAGCAAACAGGCCCTTGACATGGTGGTCTAGGGGCTAAGGTACTCGGCTGCTGACCTGCAGGTCACGGGGTTGAATGCAAGCTGCGGCGGCTGCATTTTCGATGGAGACGAAAACGCTGAAGGTCCGTGTGTTCAGATTTGGGTGCACGTTAAAGAACCCAAGATGGTCAAAATTTCCGGAGCCCTTCACAATGGCATCTCTCGGAATCATGGTGAATTTATGACATTAAACCTCACATATCAATCATTCTTGCAGTATTTTACTTACCCTTTTTCACAATCATATGCATGAAGAGAGGGAATATTGTGACTTGATATACATGTGAACCATCTCTTTAAACTACCGCCGATAGTGACGTCACCGAAAAAAGCCTATGTCTTTGCCCCCCCTCCCGTCGGTTCTGTGTAACCCCCCCGCCCCTTCGGAAAAATATTTCTGGCTACGCCCCAGCTCTCATGACTTTGGAATTTACTGGATTTTTACACCAGGCTAAAAGAATACGTATTGTTATTCTTCACTAATGAGGTGTGGATTTCCATGCTGCGCTTTTCAATAGTTATTTTGGAAGACACCGAGTATATCTCCTTGAGGGCGCATCACACGTTCGTCATGAGAACATAAAAGTAGCTTTGATAAGGTGCAGTTGCAAGATTCTAGACATAGTCTAGAGTTCATTCCTAAAGGTAAATTTTCTATTGGTGTGCTTGAAATATGCCGCCTATTCATAAAAGATAACCGATTGCCCAATTTTCAGCGGATGATTTCATAGGGTTGCCAATCTTTATCAGCTCCTCTGCGGAAAACCGTTCCCTGTGAATTGACCGATTGAACTATTGGCATTCGTTGGGGATAAACTGATTACTTAGGGCTACCATTCTTGCAGTTGTGCATTGTTGGTCACAAAGTTACTCAGCAGAAACGAGTTGCTTGAAGCTACTCTTTGGCATAAATGTAGAACGTGTACCAAGCGTTTCCGATGAAATGATCGTCAGGAAAAGACTCAATATAAATATCAGAGAATACAATCGATGACTATTCGTCATAATGCTAAGAAATGTGTATACTTGATTTGTCCCGTATATACGCAAAATCACAGATTAATAGTGGTATATGAAAAAAACAAATGATCATTTGCGCAATGCACAATATACAGAGGTAGGCCTAAGTAACATCAAAGAGAATTGTGCCAGCGATGTTATTTTGTGAAAATGTAACATACGCTTCTCGCTTATACAGCGTAAGCAGCTGTATTGTTTTCATAAGACCAAAACAACTGAAAATCGCTCTATAGCTTGTGATAAGAATGAAGCAGAATAGGCTGACGAAAGACTCATTGATGCAGTGAAAATGAAAGCGAAAAAAGTTTCATATAAATTTATTGAGATCCTCTCAATGTAACGCCCACTTAATTGCTCCCAAGGAGTCACGCTGTTCATTTGACTAGCTTTTGCTTGTATGTTTGTTCTTCACAAGCATCGATATTGTATTCTTTGGTAGTGTTCTCGCAGTTGCAAATATTTATATACGTCTTTTTGCAGATAGCTTCATCGTTGCGGTTTCTTCGAAAGTAGGCGTAATTCATCCACAGTTCCCAGGCTTCACTCTCAACTGTAAAAAGACAGTCATTGCTTACGTTGCGTCTGCCGCCTCGAGACAAGAAAGTGTTATTCCATCGTTTCGAATGACTTTTCTTCAAACATGCTTAACATATCGCAATACCTTAACAGGCACAATAAATCAGTCATAACGCTGTAGAGTATTGTTCAGCGCAATTCCGTGAACTGGGGCAAAACGTGGTACTCTTGATGAACTTTTTTGCTATGTGTTATTGGATCACGATATTTTGAACCCATTATTACGGCGTCTTTTGAATAGAAATTTTGTGTAATCAGTGTAACGCTATTCAAATATAGTTAGGCAAGAATCATGCAGGTGAGTTTTCAGATGGCTGGAAGTTCCTTGCTTTTATTTCTCAAATCTGCATTGAGAAGTCATGTCATTCCCTACACAAAAATACATTACTATTTTGCCTCGTAATCAAGATAAATATATGCACACATGTCCTGACATGCAGGGAGTTTCAAGAAATGAGGTTAAAATACGCCAAATAAAAGAAATCTGGAAGATCTGCTTCATGCCTTTATAAAAATTGGCTTCCTCTAATGAGAGACATGATGCGTAGACACAATTGTTACCACAGTAACCAAATAGAATAATTCAATTCACCACCTATTAGCAGAGAAAGGTGTTTCGATCAAACAGGAGAGCTTTTGCGCTTCCCGCAAAAAGGCCATAAGAACTTTGAGATATTAAAAAACCGAACACTTGCACTTGTTGCCGTGAAACGCAGTTCCGTCACGTTCACCAGCGAAGCTGCTGGCTGAAGACGAGATTGAGGCCATAGGTAACGAGGGAAATCGTAATCGTGTAAGTTCTGCAATCGTTAACGCACTAACGCCATACATGCTGCGATTTCAAAAAACAAGACCCCGTTCGAGGCGAAGTCAGTATCCTAATGTTGCATAATGCTCGCTGGTACTGGATATCTCGGTTGAGTTTAGCAGTCACTCTCTTGCCAGCTTCGCTTTCTTCTTTCTTAAAAAGTTGGTGTGATTTATACATATATATAAAGATTTTTAGCTGTTGCTTTTTGCAAAATTTGACAGCAGCGAGAAGCTCTTCGCTGCAAGGCTGCAGTTTTTACATGATCACTGCTACAGAATAATTGATATGTTAATAATAAAATTTCTCCAATGATTGTCCTGGTTGATCTCTATACTAATGTTAGCATGTCTTCCACCGCAAAAATTGTGCTAATGTCAATCTTATGATTTGTCATTGGTGTCTTTAATTTATGTGCAATTATGCAAAACGAGTGGAAGTGCGTAGCTGGGCAATCTTCAATTTTTTTCTGCGCGTACTTTAAGACTCTGTGATGAATCACTCCCAAGAATTTGTAACACTGGCATGAGATCAGCACCCTGGCGCCGATATTTCTTATATGGTGAAGTTTCCAGATGAATTTTTCAAGAATATTTGTGCACTTTAGCAGTAATGTCTGGCGTGTGACGCCGCAGAACTACAATATGAATACGGAAGATGCCGTAGGGGAGGGCTCCGGAAATTTGGACCTTTCGGTGTTCTTTCACGGGCCAGAAAAAGAAGCCTGACAGTAATTCCAAGTGATTTACTGTTATTTCTTAGTTTTTTATAAGTAAGGAGGGCTATGGACACGAAGCTCGGGTAGAGAAAGAAGAAGGAGACGTGCTGTGTTCACAGGATTGCATACAGTTAGCCCTTGCACTAAATAAATTTACCGTTCACTGAGTTAACTCCGGGTTGTTAGACCCCCCGTTTCATGTGGCGGACATGCTAAGATATACCTCGTATTTAGCCTCAAAATTCGCAGCCGCACACTCGAACGGCCTTCTGCAACAACTGATCCGGGGACGTCTCAGGGAGCCACTCCAGATCATGCACCCGTACCTATCTTCTGCGCCACCCCCCATATTTGGTGGCACAGATGACCAAAATATGGACAACTGGATTGCGGAGTACGAACTGGTCAGCACGTACAATATGTGGAACGCGGCCGATAAGATAGCTCGCAAATCTTAACTTTTACCTGACCGACGTGGCGAAACTATGGTACAGGAATAATCAAATTGATTTCAGTACCTGGTAGGAATTGGCGAAAACACTCTCGGAAGTATCGTCCTACTGTCCGCCGTCTTTAAGCTGAACAGTGCTTGCTTGGCAGACTACAGAGAATAGATGAGTTTTTCACGAGCTACATCAAAGATGTGCTCTTTCTTTGCAAGGTTGTCAACTCGACTTTCGACGAGGCAGGCAAGATCAAGGACATCATGAAAGAAATCGACGACGGCGCATTTCTAATGCTTCCTTCGAAGTGTCTCCAGATGGTCGCCGAGGTCATTCAGCTCTGCCAGAGCTATGCAGCTCTGCCAGAGCAGCGAGCTTCCACACGTTGCGCTGCTCAAGACACCGCGGACTTTTCATTCTTCGACTTACGACATAACACCGCCGACCGCTCTGCTTTGATTCCACTCATAAAGCAATTCATACGTGAGGAGGTCACCCGGCAGCTATCTATATTCACAAGAACTACTGAGCCGATGGCACCCTAGTTGCCTTCGCTTCGACAGGTTATTGAGTCGCATGTTGCCGAAGTGTTGAAGTGTTGCCGCCAGCTAAGGCTCCCCCATGTGTTACCACACCACTAACGTATGCAGCCGCTGCTGCTAGGCCATGCGCTCCATCGTCTCCGGCTATCTACGAATCAACTCGTCACGTTTATTCACCGACGCCACTGCCACCCGTTCATCGGTCCATGTTCGGCTGTATAGGAAACTACTCGGAACGTTTATATGAGGCCGCCACATCCACGACCGTTTACGGTACCTTATTCAGTGAACAGTGCACCAACCGTCATCCAATGGTGCACTCCGGATAATCGGCCAATATGATTTTCATGTGGCATCCCAGGCCACATAGGATCGTCACTGCCGCCACCACAGCTTCCCTACTCGCGACATTGCAAGGGCCTCACACTACATGCTTACTCAGCTGCAATAACCCGTCCCTGCCGACCTACCTCCAGACGTACCTCGCAGCCACCGACCATACAGTTTAAGCCGTTCGCCTTCCCCTCGTCGCCGATCAATTTCTCCAATGTTACGTTGCAACAGCCCACCACGAGGAGGAAATTGACGGGCACAGTTTCAGGGGCAATAACTGCGTTCGCGGCGAAACTTTCTAGACCTAACTGCTGTGACCCGAACGAAATCAAACTCCATTGATAGAATTAAGGTGCACAGACTTCTTGACACTGGAGCTGCTGTATCTGTTATTATCGATAAACTCTGCCGAAACTTGAAGAAAGTGACCCCTCAGCTTACCAACCTATCTTTGCAGACGGCTACGTCCCACCACGCTCAGCCTTCAGCTTTGTGTACTGCGCGAGTCGTCAGTCAACGTGTGATGTACTTTTTGGCACTTGCTTTTTTTTCGTTCTTCGCATGACGTAATCTTTTGGTAAAACTTTCTTTCGTCGCATTCTGCATTGGTTTACTGAGCTCGTTCCAAACTCGCGTTGTCTTCACTGTACTATGACTCCGATGGTGGCGCTTCATGTAGAGTGTTTGTTGCTTCTGACATTGATATTGCGCCTTTTTCAGCTGTTGTTGTCCTGGTGTCGCTTGCATCTCCTCCGAAATCGCCTGTGTTGTTTATGCCGTCGGGCAAGACTGCGTTCTGTCGAAATTTCATGCTTCCGTTTGCCATCATAACTTTCCGCATTGGTCACGCTGCAATTTATGTGTGCAACCTTTCGGACAGCCCATCATCCGTACTACGTGGAGAGTGCCTAGAAAGCTACGAACTTTACAAGTGCGTTCTTCCAGCTACTATACCCGATTCTACGGTTTCGCTTCCAATTTGTGCTGTCCCCGTACCAACGTGCCTAATGATGTTCTGGACGTCTCCTCGGATGTCATAGATTCTAAGCTCGCACCAACCCAGCTCCCAGAAATCACAAATCTTCTACTTCGTTTTTGCTCTTCAAGCGGTCGTGACCTGTCGGGCTTAGGCCGAACCTCCGCAGTCGTTCGCCGTATATACACTGGTCAACAAGCCCCACTAAGACAGCGTCCGTACCGTGTGTCTTCTGCTGAACGCCGTGTTATTCACGCACAAGAGGATGGCATGTTAAAACGTGGCATCATCGAGCCCTCCAACAGTCCCTAGGCCTCTTCTTTAGTTCTCATAAGAAAAAATTGGCCCCGTATCTACATGTTAATCTGCAAACGTCGTCGAAAGACGATAGTCCTGCGTCTGGAGAGATTGAACAAAACATTTATTTCTTGTTCTGCGCAAGAAATTGGGTGAATGGTAATCTGGAGGCGCTGCGTTGGAGTGGCTCGAGCGTGCAGCGGAGGTGAACGAACACACAAAGCCACGTCACTTGTGAGACATGAGTGCTATTTGGCAGTTATCTTAGAAAACGAAACACGCGGCTTTTAGACGGGCATGAACAACCGTCTCAGGGGTGATAAGGTGTAGAACGCAAGGCGACAGGTAGGTGCCACCACTGTGTCGTCTTAGCAAAGCTTCGGAAATGCTTCCCTTTTCGTGCAAGCGTTGCATGGCCAGCGCCGCGTGATAAACGCTACGGTCCTTAGACTAACCCATATATGCCTTTTCTAGTAAAAGACGCATATACAGAATGTATAGGTGTGTTTATGGTGCCTCAGATACGCGGGATAATTGCTTTTTAATTGACAATCCCACAAGTATGTATGCTGAACCTTGAGAAAAACTGGTGGGTGCTGCGGATGGGTCTGCCGTTTGGGATTTTCGATGGTGCAGTTTAAAATCCCAGTACCGCTAAGGGTTGTCTTAGTTGAATGTGCAATTGACCTTGTTGGTTTATTCCCCTCTGAGACAGCTGAGTAATCGCTTTATATATTGTTAAACCAATTTCATATACTACTTCTTGCAAACCGTATGCTCTGTTGGGCTGGGAAAATTTCTGCATTCTTGGCGGCGTCGTCAGATTCAATAGCAGGCAGGCTTTGCACACATAGAAG